GAATGGTGGACAGATTCCGGAAGGGTGGAATGATACGCTAGTGGTCCTGATCCCGAAAGTGAAGAACCCGAAGAGAATCAAGGATCTCCGACCCATCAGCTTATGCAATGTAGTCTATAAACTTGTATCCAAGGTCATTGCAAATAGACTGAAATTGGTGCTTCCGGAGGTTATCTCTGATAATCAAAGTGCGTTCGTACCCGGCAGGCTGATTACAGATAATGTTCTTATAGCTTATGAGATATCTCAGTACTTGATGAACAAGAAGAGTGGTAAGAATGGAGTTGCGGCTATCAAAGCAGATATGAGTAAAGCCTGTGATAGAGTAGAATGGTGCTTCCTGGAAGCCATGTTATGCAAGCTGGGGTTTAGTAGAGATTGGACTAACCTCGTTATGAAATGTGTAAGAACTGTCCGATACCAGATCAGAGTTAATGGCGAGCTTACATCCCAGTTTAGTCCGTCGAGAGGCTTGCGGCAAGGGGACCCTATCTCTCCCTACCTCTTTGTCATCTGCGCGGAAGGTTTGTCGGCATTACTACTTGAAGCTGAGGAGAAGGGAACCATGCATGGTGTGAAAATCTGTCCAAGGGCGCCGTGTGTATCGCACCTTTTATTTGCTGACGACTCCATGTTGTTGATCAAGGCTGACCAGCAAGAAGCCGGTGCATTGCATGACGTGCTCCAGCTATATGAGGACTGTTCCGGCCAAAGCATTAACGTCGAGAAATCTGCTGTTATGTTTAGCCCAAATACTTCTGATGCCGACAGAATCTTGGTCAAAAACAAGTTGGGGATACAGAGCGAAAATTGGAATGAGAAATACTTAGGCCTACCGGTTCATGTGGGGCGGTCCAAAAAGCAAGCTTTCAGCTACATCAAACGCAACATGTGTGGTCGCGTCCACGGTTGGCAGGAAAGGTTGTTAGCTAAGGAGAGTAAGGAGGTCTTGGTGAAGGCTGTGGGGCAGGCCATACCCATCTTTGCTATGTCATGCTTCGATTTAACCAAAACCTTTTGTGCGGAACTCAACTCTCTTCTAGGCAAATTCTGGTGGAGCCAACAGGACAAACAAAATGCAATGCATTGGATCAGTTGGGAGAAACTGTCACAACCAAAAGCGGCAGGGGGGCTGGGGTTCCGGGATATGCATACGTTCAACCTGGCGATGTTGTCAAGACAGGGGTGGAGGCTACTTCAAAACCCAACCAGCCTGTGTGCAAGGATCTTGAAAGCCCGATATTTCCCTCACTGTAGTGTCCTTGAGGCCGGAGTCCATGAAGGTATCTCTTATTCTTGGCGTAGCATCCTCCGTGGGCTGGATCTTGTGAAGCAAGGATACATCTGGAGGATAGGAGATGGCACAAGGGTCAATATTTGGACCGATCCATGGATACCGAGACCGTGGTCAAGGCGTGTCATCACACCGAAGGGAGCCAGCCTTTTAACGCACGTCGCTGATCTAATCTGCCCTATCACCGGTGGCTGGGACGAACGTCTCATAAGGGATACATTTCATGCAGAAGATGCTCGTCACATTCTGCAGATTCCCTTGCACGAGGGGGTGGAAGACTTCATAGCATGGCATTTTGACAGCAGGGGCTACCACTCCGTGAAAAGTGCCTATAAACTTCAGATGGAGCTGAATAAACATACACAGGAAGGAGCACCAGGATCGAGTTCAGTGCGAGCCGGTCAGCTGAATAGCGTGGAGGATCAGTCCTGGAAGCGCATATGGAAACTCCCGTGTCCGCCGAAACTGCAGATGTTCGTATGGCGCATCAGGCACGAGTCCTTGGCCCTGTGCATGAACCTTCAGAACAGAGGCATATCTCTGGAGAATTCAAACTGCTTACTATGTGGCAAAGGAGAGGAGGACGGTGGACATTTATTTATCAAGTGCAAATGGGTGAAGGAGGTGTGGAGGCATCTAGGTCTGGAGCACGAACGCAACCAGCTAGAACAGATCACTAGTGTGCATGCGATGCTTGATATACTGTGGGAGTTAGACGAAAAGAAGCGTGTTCTAATAATAACCTTCTGGTGGCAATGGTGGAATCAAAGGAATAAGGTCCGGGAAGGTGAGACGCCCATGCAAGTGGAAGAGATGGTCAGAAGAATCCGATGCAATGCACTAGAGTATGAGGAAGTCTTTACGCCGAAGAAGAAGAAGAGGCCGCCGGAGAAGTGGAATCCACCGCACACAGAGACGATCAAGTTTAACCTTGATGGAGCGTTCCCTCCAGGATGCTCTATGGGTGGATGGGGTGTGATTGCTCGAGATAGCTCGGGGCAGGTTCTGGCTGCTCGGGCCGGCCGTCAGGAGAATATCCAAGATGCGTTTGGGGCAGAGGTCAATGCATTGGCAGCAGCAGTGATGACGGCGTCGGAACTGGGAGCGATGAGGGTTGCCTTTGAAACCGACTCACAGTTACTTGCTGAGGCCATGAACGCCCGTGCGGCAGACTCCTCACCTTATGCATCGATCATTGAAGACCTCAAATACCAGATGAAAATGTGGTTTTCGAAGGTTAGTATCATTGCTTGTAGACGGTCTGCGAATTCAGCAGCACATGAACTAGCCAAGATAGGTCGTATGTGTCTTCCTAATAACTATATGGAGTGGAACTCTATTGTACCGCCCAGTGTGGCTGTTTGTGTCTCGGGTGACATGCCCGAGCACGGTTAAATCTATAAAGCGTTGCTTTGCCTTCAAAAAAGAAAAGCGGCTCTAAATCTCTCCTGATAGTCAACCACCGTGCCCTATATCTGCCGCCGTGCTGTACCTTAGCGTCACCGGCGGCGCCTCGATCCTGCCGGCCGACGCCGACGCCCCACGCCCCCCATCCCCACTGCCACCCCCACCCCCACCGCCCCCCCGGCTCC